AGCCGCTACAAGCCGAACGAGTAGTAGAGCTCTTGAGTTAGGACTTGAAACCTTTATTTGTAGCGACTTAGAGATCTATCGCAAAGCATCATGAAATCTCAAAATAAATAGTAAATTTTATGCGTTACGGTTGCCTCTTTTCATTACTTTACGGCAATCCAACACAGACATTGCCCGAATCACTGCGGTTGGAATATCGCGCAAGTGAATGTCCATAAAACCAATAGAAATAATGGAACAAGGGCTGTTTTTTTAACATATTTCACACTAGCTATGAGGAAAATACGAGGAGTTCCAAGCCCCGCGAATCGAGACACAATAGATAGTCAATTGTTATAACTGTGTTCATATGCGACAGCTTGGGGATTGATGGGTTAACTAAGCTAAGCTTAATTAAGCTAAGGTTAATTAAGCTATTTTCTAAATTACAGAAAAGAACGGACACTTTAATTTTTGGTACGAGATTGAAAAATATTTTGTCCTGTATCAATTACTTTATTAATGGTCCCTTCGAAATAACATATTACTTTAATTATAAAGTCTTTTGCCTTACCTACAGCTCGGTCGCCAATCAAACTGTACAGGTTAGTAATCCTGAAGGAAGATGAATCTTTGGATCAAAATTAATCAAAATTAAATTGGAAAACTTCTAATCTACCAAAATGTCTTCTGCAACTCATTTTACTTATCTCCGGTGGAAACACTCAAGACATATTTTCAAATGTGGCTGTGACTCAAGTAAAATATAAAGATTGATTTTGGGCAAAATAAGAACCTATCCTAGTAACGTATGTTAAAGCCAGTTTTCAATTACTAGATCTTTAGGTCCGTAAAAATACATACAGCCGAACATATACCCTCCTCCTTTTTTGAAGTTGGTTAAAAATAACTTCGCTCCCTAACTCCATGCTTAGAAGACCACTAGTGCCCATTACATTTCTTGTGGTGAATATAGATATATTGGTGTTAATTGTATTTTATGACTAACAGCTGTTTGCTTACAATAAATATTTGTATCAAGAGTGACTACTGTATTTATTCCTATTGGTGCGTGGCCGCGTATTTACAAAGCTTCAGAGTTCAGACCCTCAGCTCAGAGCTAATCCAGCCACGTGGCTTGTTGTGTCAATAGACAAAGGTTTGCGTCGAAATACCAATCCCAATCCGTCAAGTATCAACTGCAAGTTGTAAACTGTTTGGTTCTGATATAATCCGACGTTTGAGAACTTAACTGACAAACCGAGTTGCTACGAGATAATGACGGTCAAAATTTAGATGGATTGATAGAATTTCTTCACGGAGTGGCACAGATTTCCAACTTTGGAAGTTTGCCATAGCTATCAAATAGTTATAAATGTGTATGTCAAGATAGCAAACCTAGTATCTAATCTAGTCCGAATAATGACTTTATTGAAGCTAAGATGGATTGCGCATACCGCAGTTTTAAATTATTCTGTCTTTGAAATTTGACCCATTTGTCATCGATGTTCCTTGTCTTTATGAATTTTACGTTTTTCGGTTTCACCGATTGGTATTAGAGCACAAGTTACTAAATAGTTTCAAACTTTAGTGATCTGACTCACCATGCTCAAGTAGACCGAAAATACCGCCTAAAGTTTTGCGAACTAAAAATAAACTAAAATAAAAACGACTGTCCAGCCTCGTGTGCATCGCGGATGGCAACTAAGTCGCAACACGTCAACAGTTACGTAACACTCGTCTATCGGGAATCGATGGCGTGCCTGCTACTCGAATGTCACGGCATTGCGAGCGTAAACGAATAATTAATCGGTCAACCAACGCTCTACTTTCCGGAAAATTGGGCTCCGCTTTTTCGTTCGCCTGTCTCGGCGGTAGTGCTGCAAAGGGCTGTCGAGTGTCGATCGAGCTAGATATCGATTGAATGTCACGATCATTTTCGATTTGGTGATCTTATCTTTCGATGATAACTTTACGGAATACTTAACGTGCAAGCCTTTATTCTTATTGACAATTGTTGTCTCGAGCTCTTGTCCAAATCATCATCTTTTGAAAAGCTTTTGATCACTTTAGATGTATTTCGACGCGTAACTTGCGTAATTTGTCATTACAAGCTTTTTATTACTTTCACATGTCTGGTGTCTGTCGTCAAATCTTGCAACTTAAAATTGACCCACTTCCCGGTTTTCTATTGAGCTGGAATTTTGCATGCATGTGTAAGTCGGATGACAATGCAATATTATGATGACATGGAGCTGATCTGATGATGGAGCTGGAAGGTAGTCATAGGAACTCCGCAATAAAACGACACAGGCCTATCGAGTTTGGGCTCGTTTAATTTGCATTGACGAGAACTATAATCCTGTATGGTAACCATTAGGGTCTGATGATGGAGCCGGAAGGTGTCCATAGGAAATTCGCACTGAAACAACACAACCCCGTCGAGTTTGGGCTCGTTTAATTTATATTGACGAGTACTTCAATCCTACATGGTAACCAGGGTCTGATGATGGAGCCGGAAGGTAAGTAAATCTCGCGACAAGCTTTTAATCATATAAATTGAGTAAAGTAATAAGTTGATGGGTTTGTTTTATTTTATTCTTTTTAGAGCATTAAAAGCTTGTTTTTGAAAAATATTTTTTTTTTCATTTAAGTTCCTCAAAACTACGATTACGATACGACTACGAGAATGATAAAGGTCGGTGTCACCTAAAAGTAATTTATTGGAGTACTAATTTATTGGTACTTTAGGAACCGCAATCTCAATTAAACTTTTTGATATCTCAAACCATCTTTTCTGTTCCTCGTGAGTGATTGTGTTGGAATCAGATTGGATTTTAGGAGAATCTGGTGTTCAATCACCCGGTAACCCCGATTCACCTTTCTTGACATTGATCGAACATTGATCAGAGCCAGATAAGCAATCCACATTGAACAGAAAAGGAAGACTATTGCGGTACGTTAGTTTATCGAAAAATGTTTGTATTTGGAGAAAAGATCTGAATGAAAAATATATTTACTTTAATCACCAGTTTATTACAATAAATTACTAAAGAGTAACCTTAGTGATTTCCACACAAAAACTTTTATTATCGGACTTGAACCATCTTCGAAACTTTTTGCCTGACATAATTACTCCAGCAACAGCAGAATTCTTTTAGCCGATAACGAAAACGTTTAGACTGTCTAGCGGGCCAATTACAGAAAATTTATCGATAGTGTCCCAGCACAATTCCGCACTAATAAGATTTGTGTTCCCGCCAAGAGGGAGGAAATTTGTGAGATTTCTCTTTTACTGCAGCTTGAACTAACGGGTGCGAAACGTTTCATTCCGAAATAAGTCGCCATAACCGGATTTGCAGAGCTCAGATAAAATCGACAAAATCTAGTGGAGTGGTACAATCGTATTAACTTGCAAAGGCCATGAAAACTTTCTATCGTTAGGTATGAGTACTTCTTCTGTCGTATAAGTTAGAAATATTTTGATTAATCTTGTTTATTTTATTTTTTGAATTGTTAATTTTATCTGGTTATCAGTCAATTAGCTGAACAAGACACGAGACTTGCAGAATTACCATCTACCAAAGAGCCTTTAACACTTTTGGCCCAGAGACTTGATTTATCGTAAAAAAAATACAACGTTATGTTAAGAGTTTACAAAAATATTTTAAATAAATTTCACGCAGTGGTTATAATATAAGTAAGTTTCTTACAACTTCGTTTCGGAAGTTGTAACAAGTTATTCACTTGTCTTATCTAAGACTGAACCATAAAATCTTACTTTGAAACTATGCTAATTACAATATTACTTTGTCCTATTACCTTATCGTTGTTATTGCCGATACGATTTTTATCTTCTCCCTACTAAGTAAGTATATCACAGCCTTGACTTTTTGTAGCCGTTTCTCGGTATCATCGTACCTATCAGATATAATGGGAATCGACCACAGCGAACATTATAGTAATCTACATGATAGCCCTATTTGTCTACAGACAGGCTAATAACTGTTTTCGATTGATAGATTGAACCAACTTCTTTGCTATATTTCAACGCGATTTTCTATCTTTGAATCCTATTTTCGTACTGAAGTTACTAAATATTCAAAGCTGCTATAATCCGTTTACGTCACGTATCCGGATCACCATTTAATAACGAAACCTTACAACGTATAATAAGTTACTATGTCCCCAATATTAATTTTACTAACGGATAAGCCTTCCTTTATTATAGTTGCTAGGTAAACACACCACATACACACACTAAAAGTAGATAAAAAGGATAGAATTTTCAAAGTATACTACTTTATAACTAACAAAATAAGAGTGAAAATGCAACCACAACCTGCAGTATTAAATAAAATCTATACCTAATACCTTCTACAACGTGTTTCTGCTGCTCAGTTACAATATTTTCTGATAAATGTTTACTTACTAACAGTCGAGAAAGGTAAAAGATTTTTAGGCATAAAAATAAAGAAAGGATAGAAAAGTTGTAAATATGAGCAGCAGAATAAAGTTGTTTAAAATCAGAAAATTGTAGAAAACAACACAAGTTACATCGAACAGAGATCGTATCTTTACAAAAAGAAAATTCAAGAAATTCAATTCTAAGAAAAAGAAAATCATGTTTTTATTATTCTGTAACGATATTCGCGCTTATGGTTGCTATTAATTTCTTAACAATAATTTAACTGTGAAAGTTTGAACTGTGGAAATCGAACCCAGAATCACTCAAAAACATCAAAGTTGAGAGAATGTAATCTCTAACAGCTAATCAGTAATGACAGCTCTTTCAACCCAGCAGCTTTTATGTATTTGATAAATTGTAAGTAAATTTCATAATTACCACATCTATATTATATAAATCGTCATCAATCATCTATTATAAAGTTCAATCAAGTTAAAAAAAATCCTTTCAATGTAGCTAAAAGTCACCAAATTGACGATCTCAATTTGAAGGCCAGAACAAACAACGCCGCCTCGCAAGCGAAAAGAAAACAAATTAACAAATATTACACCATCTAGTTTACCTGTGTCATCTGATCCCGAGTCGTACAGGCCTAAAACAGAATTTAAAGATACTTTGTATAATTTTATAGAGATCGATATGCAATTTTGTGCTCTAAAAGCAGGCACGAATATTGTATTTAGGACGGAAATCGCAGGATCTTGGGTAAAAAGGAGAGTGGGAAGCAAGAATAAGGTAAATAAAAAACAGAAAAAGAAAATGCTGAGCTACACACTAATACTAAAGAACAATTTTGAATAAATATTTAGCTAACTACGTGCAAACAAAATTTCTATTGAAATTCATGCTGAATTGCTAAATAAATGCAAATCTGAAATCCTATAAGGGAAGCCTTTCTATAATCTTCAATAATGGTAAGCCTCTCTCAATTTTCAGAATTACTTTCTTATTTTCGACCTAGTTTTTTAGGTTTTTGTCAATAAGATCTTTGCTAGATTTTAAACCTAAAAGGAGATGTAACGTTATAAAAGTTTCGGTTATTTTTGAAATCTGGGGTTTCTTCACAGGAAACGTCCAAGTACGAGTAATTTTTCATGGTTCACATTTTATTACTTCTGATAGGAGTGATTTGGTAGGTCGCCAGGCCAAATTTCCATCGTAGGAAAACTTTACTTTTATTTCTCTCTTTTTTTTTCTTCCTATTGTGTGGTGAAATAAAGCATTCAACGACCGAAATCTTGATAGATTACAAAAATATGTAATTAATTTTAGAATAAGTATACAGTATACACATAATATATGAAGAATAAAGAGAAATATACAGGCTCGTAAGAAGATTCAACTGTCTAAAAGGACCAACGTAGAAATTGAGGATTATTCCCATAAAAGTTTACATAGCCCTTTCAGCACAGAATAATACGAAAGTGCGTTCGACTTTGAAAAAATCTAGTGAATTGGTAAATCAATTTTACCGCGCCAAGACGCTTCCGATCGATCGTACGGTTCGATATATTTGCTATTTTTCATACAAAAACTTTCAATGGCGTTCAGTCGGTGCTGTGTTGAGTGACAAAGATGGACGTGTACCTGACTACGGGAGGCGTGAAAAGTATTAATTTATTTAAATTACTTCTTTTGTGGATTTCAATGAATTTTGTGCGTATTAATTTAAATTATATCCTTAAAAAATATAATTCGCTTTAATTTTATAAAAAGTTAGATGAAGCCGAGTACCAGGTACTCCTAAAGTTCCACAGCACGAGCGTGCATGTCGGGACGATGTTTGAATTTTTGGTAATGTAAGTAATGGAAACCTTTCGAATCTTTTAAAGGCCTGAACATCAGATTTACTCTAGAATAAACTCAAAAATGTCTCCGAGACACAGTACAAATCCGCTGTAGAAAATACAGCCACCAGTGAAAATATTGAGAGGATACCAGGATTCTAGTACCAATAGATGAACCAAAATGATCCCTTTTATGAAAATATCTAACCCCATGTGTTATTGAATAATAGCCTCGACATCTGGGATTAAAAAAAAATAAGTTATTACTAAAAACGAAAGCTCATGTTCAATTTTAAGATGCTACTACCCCCAAAATTCAGGTTTTGACAGAGTTCTAGGTTAGGGCCATGAGCTATTTTTGAATTTTTTTTTCAGAAATTAGTATCTAATTACGATATCATGTCTTTATGAAGAATAATAAAGCTCCTTATATCTAAAATGTCTTTTTTAATTAGTTTAAATTGTAATTGTAATGAAATAGCTATTCATAGGTTCATGACGGATTTATACGATCGTGCGGGGGGGTTTAGGGGGGTTAAAGTCACCCCCTAAATTTTTTCGCTATTTTTCTCTATTTACTAAGATCCTAAAGACCCCAGAAACTAACGCGATTTTTTAGAAATCGTCAAATTTTTTTCTCGTGCTGAAAGGGATAGGAAGGATTTTGATACCGAGAATTTGTTTGTAAGCAAGAAAGGGATCCCTTTGAGGAAGTTATCTAATAAAATAGGAGCTTTCATACTTTATAATATAAAACGTTACGTACACAGCAAATTCAAGTTTCAAGAGTTTAAATATCTGACATTGCTTTCTTAATCAACTTTTTTAAATTTGCCATAGAACTTTGTGAACTTCCCCTTAGTTCAAAGACTTACTTGGACATAATTACTTTGAAAAGTTTATGGCAAGGTTCTCAAATCTATTTGGAACAAAATGAAATGCTGGAGTTTTAACGTTTCGAGCTAAGTGTTTCTGCACTAGTGCACCCTTTGGCTTAGCGCCAATACTACACAATGGCCAATAGCTATACAAATTTCAACCACGTTGTCCCCAAACATATCTACGTATTGCCGTCTAGACACTTCCCCGTATTTTACAATGTCGTTCATGCGAGTTTTATCAAGGCAATACTTATTTTATTTCGAGATAACTTTTTATTGGAGAGCACTCCAATTTATGCCTCTTTCTTTTCTGTCGTTACGTTTGAAGCGTGCTTATGGCTTTTTTATTATGTGGAGTTCAATGATGAGGAACTATCCAACGTTTCTAGTGTACCGTAAATAACTGACAGACGTTTCAAAAAGGGATAAAAGTTTAAATTGAAAAGAGCTTTATTGCAATCTAATAAGATATAACTGCACGCGAGATGTTAAAGAGTTATGACACTTAATGGAAGTTCTTATATTTGTCATAACCCACGGCCATTTGTCGTTGTAATAAATTTATTTATGGCCCTTTGTCTTGGACAGTGTGGGTATTAACAGTATCCTTTACGAGCTGTATTATACTATGTGCATAAATCTTCCGTAGGTTTTAAAGAACATACGAGTACTTCACTTCTGTAATTCAATATTCCTTAAAGAATTCTGAGTGTCTAAAAGAAAATTCTGTTTGCATTGAACATAGTATACCCAAAAGCATATAAAGTTACTTATGTTCAGATTTCAGTTGAAAGCTTTTAAACAAGGGTTACTGTGAATTTCCTTATTAAAAACAAACATAATAAACCAAATTTGCTCAAATTTTATCAACCCAACACAGACAATGTTTATTATGTAAAAACCACTCGGCAAAATGTTAAATTGTTACACAATCAGCACTGCGTGTGACATCCGCTACGGAGGCGGACGAGTTAATGAAATTAGTCATCACTTCACTCGTATTTACAACCGTTTTCCACCTGAAAGGCACGTAATTGAAAACGTTAATATGTGTTTACAGAAAATGTATGTGTCTTAGAAGACTATTACTGTACACTACTGCTAATGTACTCGTATTTTGACCTTCACTAATGTAGTCTCGCACTAATTCTAGGCGGATTAAGAGCAAATTCTCCTGTCCGACTGCTAAACTTGAAATGCTTTCAAGTACTATCCTTTCTAAGCACAGTCGTCAAGTCAGTGTTCCGCAAAGGGTGTACCGCGGCACACTGGTGCACCGTGGTCATTAGATGGTGTGCATCGGAAAAATAAGTTATATTAAAAACTTATTTTTCGTTTTTAATTCGTTTTCCTAGATGAATTTTTTTCAAAAATTTTGCGGAACTTAAAGCGAGCCAAATGAAGAGATTGGTAGTTTAGTTTCCCCGGGGTAAAATCATCAAGTGATTAAAGTTCGACATTAGCATGTTACGGACTATAAAGAATGTGTAGACCATTTTAATGATAGCTATCATTTCTCGCATTATACTGGCAGATGTTTCAATTCACATTAAAATCGCTAAATTGGCATGCATGGACATACAAATTACATGTAACTATGTCGACAACACATCGCTATTACATTTTTACGGCACAATTGCACCTATTATAAAGTTTAATATTATGCTATCATTCGTGAAGTCCGTATGACGTATTATTTATTTATGCATAATGCATATAGACAGAGCCGTTTTAACATTTTTTCCCAAACTTCTCTCTTTAAAATCTTTTTAATTTCATCTACTTTTATTGCTATTAGGTTTTTAACAAATAGTTGATGTACTTTACAAAGTAAGACGTCACAACTTAATAAAGCTTTTCAACAAAATGCACAATGTTCTTTGCGGACTTCCCTCAAAGGAAATTTGTGGAAGATAATAATCCATCAGACAATATTTTTCTTGGTAAAAGCAAAGTTCTTTAGACGCATTATGGAGACGGCGACTTAGGCAGTTCACAGACGAGCGACAGTATATCGGTGACTGCTTGCGACTTAAGTCGGCGACAGTCGCCGATAATCGCTGACGACAGATATTCAAATTAGACGACCATCGCCGATGCATCGCGAATACCACCGATCTTCCCCGACGTGGCTCTCGAGACGGGCAGTCCTAACGTATACGGGACTATTTCCACCTCTCGTTCCCACCGCTGCAACTCCTGTGTAGCCAGGATCTGCAGCTTGATCGCAAATAAAAACCCAACCAGTGAAGGTCCACTTTGTCCCGGGGGAAAGTTCAACTCTTATTGGACCCGCAACGAAATTAATCAGAAGAACATAGGAGTTCGAAGTTAAGTCCAAACGTATAGTCAAGTACCTAGTCAAAGTAGTCAAGTAAGTGTTAACATGTCATGACAGCGAAAGGCGCGAGTCGGAGACTGTCGCCGACAATGGCTGACCGCCACCTACCACTATCGCAAGCAGTCGCCGACATAATGTCGCTTGTCTGTGAACTCTCTTAGGAGACTGCGACTTAGTGTGTCTTTGTACACCGGAAGTTAGTAATAGTGTTAAGTTTGTCCGGAGGATAATAGAGTAACTTTAAAAGAAGTTACATCGTCTGATTTTCTATATTTTGTTTTACCCCAGAGCGGTTCCTATACGTTAAAATCTAACCTTAGCTACTTCTCAGCAACAACCCAATGCAATAAACGTTTTGAATTGAATTGAATTGAACCCATATATTGTTCCGAAGTGGTGGTTATATTTTCGACGAGTAAAAGTGCCCTGGAAAGGGCCTAAGCACTGATTAAATATCTTGATTTTTTATTTCACAATTTCCGTTTATTTTTATGAATTTGATAACATTTTATGAGACGTACGAGTACATGGTTTCAATTTCTAATTTCCAAAAAATTGACTCAATCACTTTAATTAATTATTT